ATGGTGAAACGAGCTAGAAATAGAGGAAAGCCACTTAAGAAAAAGAAGAATATAATAAAGCGAGCAAGAAACTAAGAACAATAAATGAACAAATGACATAAATTTAAAATGTTAAAAGTAAGAATTATTAAATATGAGACAATAAACTATAATCGTAAAATGAAAACGAGAAAATGAAAGAATAATTATAATTCCGTGGCTTCTAAACTTTTCAACAGAATCAATCCCTTGATCAACATATTTTAATCAGTATTTTTGTTCATGCAGATCACCAGGTCAGGTCAGCTTCTGGTATATTGGTAACTGATTTTTATATAGTGTGCTCTCGATATCAAAATAAATACTCCAAAATTCATCAATTACTCTTACGTTCTTTTGACCTCCAGAAATGTCAAAATTATAAAATCACTGTCACTATATATTCACYAATATAGGTCAGTTGAAAGCGATTGGATCAACTAAGCTTAGTATCACGGCTTAATAATAAATATGGTACATAGATATATTATTCAGTGCCTCGTGGTAATCATTCTATCTAGCCAACATATGCACAAGTGAATGACTACTCGCGTTGTCGAATAGGCGGTAGGGATTAACAGTTGCATAGGATTACCGACTCGGTATAGGAACGATAATGACTGACAGTAAAAAAAGTCGTAGAATATTTAAAAGCGTTACTAGCTGAATAAGTGGTGATCAACTGCGGAAAAGTCGTGTGCCGCTCGATCTTACGCAAAAAGTCATATAACCCTAAGTCTAGAAGTTGTTCGTTGAGAAAGAGGAAAAAAAGGGACAGATTCAATGAGAACAAATAATCCAACTCTCATTCATACATTCAGGCTTTCAGCTGTTTCAGTTCGAATTTCATTTTTCCCATTAATACTTTTGCCCGTTTTCCTTCCTTTTAGTTTTGCTTTTCTTTCTTTCCTCTATTTTACTTGATCCCAAGACAAGCAAGTCAATGATAATTGAGAAGCCTTGCCTGATAAAGTTTTTATTTTCCTGACTGTTCAAGGTCATTCCGGTTATTCACTGAATGTTTCATCAGTTCAGATTTGATTTTACAGTAATACAATTMATAAGCACATAAGCGATATATCAGCAACCTGAATACGCTTAGATTAAGACATGGGAACAAAATAACCTTGCTGTGTACTTAAATATATTAGCTCTTTTTTAATGGTTTCGACCAAAACGTAAATGTAACCCAGTGCCACGTGGAATAAGTTTTCAAATTGCTCTTTGTTTGTTTGCCGTCTTTTTCAGTTCCTTACCCTGGTTAAGACTTGATCCTCATCAAAGATTTAACGGGGAAATTGTTCGTGTGATCTGCCCAGGATAGGGTATCACAAACAGTTTACAGAAAATGTTTTGGCCTTCGTGACTTCAAACAATAAAAAATGGGACCCATAACACTTAACATTAATGGATAATCATTCGACATTATGGCGAAATCATTACTGATGAATATTTACCGAACCTCGAGTCTTCGACAAATTGTAGACGACTTTTAGTCTTTTAATTTATTCTTGTGGAACCCAGCTATTTACAAGTTGTGTTTATTGTTTTGACAATTGTTTTTATTGCCTTATGCACGCCATCCTCTGAATAGTACAAAAAATTGTGCTGTGGCTGTATTTTCTATGGTGTGGAATATATAGTACTTAWAATCAAGCTGTTGCAAGTGCTGCGATTTAGGCATGAAGTGATATCTATGTATTTATATGGTTGCTGCATATTGATCTAATGCCTATCTCTACATGTGATTTATTTACCACAGTGTAGCTAGAGTGCTCACAATAAATCCGTGAAACAAATACTAATTTTTAGCACTAAATAGTGATAATTAAACAATAGAAAACAAAGGATTCTGTATGAAATAGTACTAAATAGTACTAATTAAGGTTCACGGTTTTGGTGCGGGAAAAAAGTACCGGGGATGCTCGTCGGAAATTTTCAAAAAGACCCCTAAAAGATACCGGACGTCTTTAAGAAAGAGCGTGGCTGAATGATTTTTAACCCCTAAGAGATACCACAACAAATAATATTAAATTTTATATAAAAAGCGCCTAGGATAAGCCATATCGATGTGCGCTTCTCTCCTTTTCCGACACCCTAAGAGATACCAGAAAATGCTGATTTTCAAAAATTCACATTTAACACTTTAAAAGATACCAAATCGCGAATTTTTACCCCTAAGAGATACGACGACCATCCCCGGTACTTTTTTCCCGGAGTCCCCCCCGGGATATTTTGACGGCTACATATGACGAAAAAAAGTGGTAAATAAGAGGAAAGCTGGGGAAATTTTTTTGCCACAAAAAATGAACAATTTTACTACAAAAACAAGAGAAAATTTTGAAAGAAAAACGGTTTCAATCGCGCGCGTGCAAATAAATTTAAGTTTGACATGTTGAGATTACACGACTTGCTTGCTTGAACAGATAAAACAGTCTATCGAATCGAAACGTCGATTCAACCATAGGGGATCCGAGGATGTGAGTGACAAATCGCGATTTTTTCTGGAATCTAGCACACAGGAATCCCAATGGAGCAAATATTCACCTCAGGCTCAGTGAACATGGGGCCGGTTGAGGTTGAGTAAAATATCGTGATTTGTTATGAGCCAGCAACTTCATTTATATAGCCATTGCAAGACACTAACAAATCACGATTTTATAAGTAACCGAGTTCAATATTTTTTTAATCATTCAAATGATTTTTTTCTCGTTTTCGGTTTTTGTGCTTTAGTCTGTTTTTGCTGTCTATCAAACATCAAGTCACAGGGAAGCTAGCCATGTTGACAAATGCATAGTTTAGTTTTGCTCTTGCGCATTATGATGCAGATCCCCGATATTCACTTCATCTTCAGTGAATAATTGTTAAGGATTTGTTTTAGGATTTGTTAATTTGAATCGATAAATCAGAAAGGTAGTGTAAGACTAGTGTAAGAGTGTAACCAAAGAACGATTATTTCGTGTTCAATAGTGTTAGTGGGCTCCCTGTGATCTTATTCTCATCCGGGACTTTGTATTAAACTTTCCCGCCAAATTTGCTCACATGATCAAAAAGTTTATTGGAAGACGAAGCAAGACAAGATGGACGTAGCTGATCGCAGTTCTGGTACTGTTACTGTGCGTGATGAATTAGCTGAACGATGCCAAAAGCTTTTTCAGGACTTCTTGGAAGAGTAAGTTGACATTTGGTTGATTTCTAAAGGCCTTGCTTTTTTTAAATCTGAAGGCTGGTTCTCCCCAGTTCTCGAAGGTTATAAAGAAGCCAAGCCAAAGCACATGGCTCGTGTAAATCCACAACAYTAACTGTGCAAATGAACAGCGATATCTTTTGTTGCTTATGATTTATAGTTTAGAGATTGATGCYTCTTAACTAAGGCAGCTCTTAAAGTTTCTCGATTTTGTACGCACGTTTTTATTTGTACAAAATGTAAGATTGTCGTTCATAGTCTTAACAAGCTTTYCCCCCCCTTTAAGGTTCAAAGAAGACGGAGAGTTAAAGTATCTAGCTGATGCACAGGAACTTATTCGTCCAGAACGAAATACTCTTGTAGTAAGTTACAGCGATGTTGAAGCTTACAATGCACAGCTGTCGACTATCATACAAGAAGAATATTACAGGTAATTTTTACCAAGTAAGCTCACATAGAGGATATTACATGGCCTCGTCGAGAAACGGCTTTTATCTTTGARTGCTGAGGTCATATCTTACGAGTGAGCTCAGCGGTGAAAGTAAAATATTCTCAACACGATAAAATCCGTATCTTCAATCAGCCATATGATAGACTCCTTTCAGGATATTACCAATACAGCCCAATTCAGAGGACAAAGCAATAGAATCATACTCTCATGAGAACTTAAATCTATTGTTTTGTGTTCTGAGGTAAACAGCTCTGGGGATTGCTGAAACTGGTTYATATTAAGTTTAATCAGGGACCACTGAGACAGGGGGATGGGGAGCATGTCCCCACCTCCCCACTTTTTCCCTTTTCCCATACTAGTCCTCTTATATTTTCCAATCTCAGCCCCCCACTTTTTAGGTTTGTCCGTGGTTCTTGTTATTATATAATTCAAAATAAAGAATAATGCAAAAATACGACATTTTGAAGTCACCATGACTTCATATTCAAATCACTTTTATAAATTGCCAAATTACCACCATTAAATTACTTGAAAATGAAGTCCTGATGACTTTGAAACATTTATATTTTGAATATATTTGCATTATTCTTCATAGGTTTGAATTCAATATCCACATCATTAATAAAATGCAAATAAATGAGCTAGGTTCACCATAAGTTGAAAAATTTGAAATTAATTGTTTTATTATTTAAATAGAAAACTTAAACTTGTTTCAATTTAATAAGCTTAACTTCTCATACTTTTGAATATTTAGAGTTTTTCCATTTCTTTGCCGTGGTGTGAGGAACTTTGCGAGGGATAGAGGAGAAGTCCCAACCAACAAGGAGTTCTATGTCAGTTTTGTAGATTTACCTACAAGACATAAGTAAGTTTAATACTACTACCATCATTTGCATCTAGRCACAAACACGAGACATCAAAACATGTCCTAATGGGCTTTTAAAACTTTTATGTTTGTCAGCTAAAAATGTCAATGTTTGCCGATTTCAAAGGCAGTATTAATTGTTTACAATTGAAAAAAAGTTTAATGTTTCTAGTCAACGATCATACAAGTTTCAGGAGCCAAAATATTTAGTACCATTTATAAAACCCTTAATATGTAGGAGAGTTGGTAGAAGAGTTTAATATTTTTTTACAAGAAAATTTACTCAAATACTATCATGATTTAGAATAAGGGAATTGACCAGTCAGAAGATTGGAAGTTTACTGAGAATTAGTGGTCAAGTTGTGCGTACCCATCCTGTACATCCAGAGTTGGTCACTGGTACATTTGTCTGTCTTGATTGTCAAACAATAATCAAGGATGTTGAGCAGCAATTCAAATATACACAGGTAAACAATTTTACTAAGGGGAAAAAATGTTTTCAAAATCAAGATTATTAGATAGGACGTCAATGGTTACAAAAGGGAAGACCATAGGTACCTGTATGGGCATGTTGGAAAATRTGAAAAATGTAATGGACTTAAAATGGACTCTAATAAATAGTCTCCTAAATTCAGGAAAATGCATTAGCTTTATACTAGTAATTCATTATCTACCTTAGTTTTTACATGATAAAATAATTCCATTTTTTGAAGAAAAAAAATAGTTGTTTGAATGCATTTGGACTTGACTGTGAAGCCCAGCAAAGTTTCATGCTCAGTTTTGCTTAAACTTATAATTCTATATTGCAGTCAATTTCTATAGTTTACAAATGGTACCGAATGCATGAGTTATATCTGTTGTTGTTTTTATTATAATTTTTATTCCCTGAATTTCTTGGGTTTTGATATATAATTTGACAATAGATCTTGAGTGTGTATGTTTAAATTTTGATTTGGTCGCCTGTAATAATGGTTCAAACCGATAATACAAATATAACTTATTTGTTTCACACCAGTTAAATTACAAGTGTACATTAAGTTTTGATTCGCAATCTTAAGYCGATCTTTTCTTTGGAGAGTTTTTTTTCATTTAACTCTTGGCATCTGAAACATGCATTATAGGTGAACCATGACTCCGAGGGACTTGAGTCCAGGTGACCAAACCCSTGTCGACTTCACTGTAATTCAACTGAAAAGCCCTTATGGGGAGTGATTAATAAAGTTCATGGGTTCAAGTTTGGTYTGTTATAAAAATATCTTCTACCTTTTTAACCTAATGCATTTTGTCTTTCACAACACTTCCATAGTACTTCATTATTTGTCTTAATTTCAGTTTTAAAACATATAATGYTTTTATTTTCTCACATTTTTATGAAAACATATTGTGATTAGACATGCATTTTGAGACCAGTCCACGTTTTACAACATGCCCATACCTGTCCTCCTCTTCCAAGGTGTCCCATCTAACAATCTTGAATTGCTATGGAAAGTTTGCAGTTCCTGTCACAAGTGTGAGTTTGCCAAAACACTTGTCGGCCACTGTACCAAATATTWAATATATTATTTCTTTTGTTTTTCATTTTGGAGATATAAGACTTTGAACAATTATTCACCCCTCGAAAAGGTTTCAAAAAAGGGGTAAAACACTAAAACTAATCAAGCAATCAAAGTAATTTTTACAGAGCAACTAAAACATTGCTTTACCAAAATACGTAGAAAAAAACACAAAATAATTGTTCAAAATACAGTCAGGGTCTTACCGTTAACAGGCAGTCAAACTCAAAAACTGTCATTTCATCAAGATGTACACATATGTGTGCTAGTACTTATATTTTTTCTCAAAATCCTGCTATTTTTGGAAACTGGAAAACGTATAGGGTCTCCTGGGTTCACTTGTATGGTTCTCAAATGAGATATTGTAGGTTGCAATGATAATTCAACAGCATTTGTGTCAGCACACTTGTGGGCTTGTAAAAGCTATAAAACATAGACAGTCCCCTGAA